GGAGGAGGCCCCTACAAAGTCCGGGGGGCCAAGGCATTCACAAATCAACCGCTGCCATCCTCTTATCTTGATCCATTTCCTTATCTACCAAGGAACTGGATCAAGATAAGAAGATCATTGTGGGTGGGGGGGAGATGGAACATTCAGCAAAACGGAACGTGGCCGAGAAACATGAGAAAAATGAGCTGATGTGAAAGGGCATCCTGCAGAAAACTAACAGCTTCAGTGACCCTGTCTCTGCTTCTCATCCACGGATGGGAAGGAAAAACCTGCCAGTGAAGAAAAACCTGCTAATGGTTGCCTAGATAGAAAGAAAATGAACTTTAGAATGTGGTGGCCAAGAAACTTACCACAGAGGTTAGCTTGACAGGAGAAGTTTCTCTTGTGTCTCTGTCAACCACCAAGATGATTTGAAATCTAGAATGGTTGACTCGATGTCAGTGTTAACACGGACTCTACTGTCTGCTTGGGATTTCTTTTTTTCTCCCATGACCATCCAAAAAACCAAACTCGCTGCCTTGAGGCAGTGCTGACTCATAGCGACCCCCAGTGGGTTTCTGATACTGTAATTGTTCACAGCGTCGAAAGCTAGGTCTTTTTCCCATGTGGCTCCTGGTGGTTTCGAACTACCACCCATGCGGATCACAGCCCAGCATTTTAACCAGTACACCACGGGGCTCCTTTCCCTGTGACCATAAGCAGATAGAATAGCTAATCACCATCTTTCGGTGTTTATTCTATTTGCCATCAATCTGTCTTTGTGATGTTTGTCTTTTCTTTTCATTGCAGGCTGGCCCCCGATCCACCATGACGCCCACAGACTTTGCAGTGAGTACAGCCATGTTCGCCGGGCTCCCCAAAACGGGGTGTGGGAAAGAACCCATGGTAGGGAAGGAAGTCTGTGTGTTTCTCGGTTGCGCAGGGTAGATAAAGAGTGACCGTGTTGGAAATCCACAGGGGAAATTCTACCCTGTCCTGCAGGGCCACTATGAGCCCCCGCTGACTCACTCGATGGCAGGGAGTGTGGTTTTGTTTGGTGGGGTAGTAAGTACCCAGGGACGACAGTTCAAACCCACCAGCCATCGCTCAGGAGAAAGATGAGGCTGTCTGCTCCCATAGAGATTTACAACAGTATCTCCCAAAGTGGGTGATATAGCCCCCTGGGGCTAATGGAACAATGGGAGGGGGCTTCAAAAGCAGATCCCCACACTTTATTCTGGATTATGGGCTAGCATACAAATGTCTTTAATGGCCAGAGGTAGCGAGAATTTTTTTTTTCCTGAAGAGGGGGCCTCAGGACAAATAAGCTTCAGAATCTATGAGGTGTCCTCTTGGAAATCTACAGGGCAGTTCTGCCCCGTCCTATGGCGTAGCTATGGGCCAGCCTCTACTCCACAGCTGTGAGTTTTGCAGTCTGGGGTTGCCAATCGCAGTGGTAGGAATGGTTCCACCAGCTGACTTGCTCACTGAGAGGTCCTCCGCGCAATGCCTTGAAGAATGGGCTGGTAATCTCCTTGGGGGCGGGGGGTGGGAATCAGCACGGTTCTGCTCTGACCACAGATGTTAGCACCAGCTGGATGGAACCGGTATCTTTGGGGTTTCTTCTCTTTGGGGGAGCCTTTCCCTTCCTCTTTCCTCTTCCTCATACTGCCCGTAAAACCGCCCACCCTGGCGTGTGAGGCCCCTGAAACAGCACCTCCTTCTCTGTGAGAACCTGCAGCCCTCGCTCCGCTCAAGGCCCCGTGAAAGTCTAGCCCATTGGGAAAATGAGCAGTGTTTAAACGAGCGACAGGACCTG